CTTTCTTTCTTTCTTTCTTTCTTTCTTTCTTTCTTTCTTTCTTTCTTCTTTCTTTTCTTTCCTCTTTCTTTCTTCGAGATGGAGTCTCTCGCACTGTCACCCAGGCTAGAGTGCAATGGCACGATCTCGGCTCACTACAACCTCTGCCTCCCAGGTTCAGGCGACTCTCCTGCCTCAGCTTCCCGAGTAGCTGGGATTACAGGTGTATGCCACCATGCCTGTGCCCAGCTAATTTTTTTGTATTTTTAGTAGAGATGGAGTTTCATCATGTTGGGCAGGCTGGTCTCGAACTCCTGACCTCATGATCTGCCTGCCTCAGCCTGCTAAAGTGCTGGGATTACAGGCATGAGCTGCCACAGCCGGCCTGCAGCAAATCTGATTTCTGACTCCAACTCTGCCATGAACCAGCTGTGGCTTTGGGCAAGCTGCTTCTCTGTGCCTCACCTGTGTAAGGGGACAGGAGACTTAGAGCTGACTAATCTAGTAGTTTGTAAACTGTATAGAGTCCCCTGCAGCTTTTGTCTTTCTAGAATTGGAAGATACCAGAGTGTCTTTGGACACAAAGAGAAAATAACCAGGAGAAAGGAATGAATGATCAAGAACAAAGGGATTAATGGAGCAAGGTTTATGAGCAGCTGGGGTCAGATAGGATGGAAGGCTACAGAGAGGGCTTAGAAGGTGGTGGGTGGGGGAGAGGGTAGGAGCAAAGGAAGTGGGGACATTAGGGAGAGCTTGACATACATGAGGAGGTAGAAACTGAAGGACTGTACCTTAAGTGGCCTTTATCTTGCCAGTGAAGAAAGGGCTCAGCTGAGGACAGATGGGTCTTCCAGTCCTGTTCTCAACTCTGAGAACACCAGCGTCACCTGGAGGGTCTGTTGACACAGATTGCTGGGCCCCTTTACCAGAGCTTCTGATTCAGCAGATGTGGGATGGAGCCTGAGAACCCGCATTTCTAATGATGCTGATCCTGCCGGTCCGGGGATCACACTTTGATATCCACCATTTGCTTCAGTGGCAGGCCTTCACCTGGGTTTGATGAATCAGAATGGGAAATCTGAGTTGGCGGTTGACCCTAAAAAATAACAGTCACTACCTGAAGGTACAGGGTCTGCTGAGAAGGTCAGATAAAACTATTGGGTGTGATTTAGGGGCTCAGCCTTGTTCAGTGTCGCCTGGACCTCTGGATAATGAGGTTATGGAGACGAAGTTAGGGGGTCTGACCCTGGGCTGGCTCCCATGTTTGGGCCCCAGTGAAGTCATTCTGGGAGGGG